ATGTAAATGCATTGGTGCCAGTTCGTTGGAAGACAAGAAGAATGCGATCATGACTGATTTTGCTGAAGTCACCAAAGCTGATGTAACACTGAACAACTATCTCACCCGGAGCAAGAACCTTTTCTATATATTTTCAAATATTTTCTGTTGCAGTCACTTTATGCTCATGAGTCTCTACAGAAATTGTTGCGCCATCCTTTGGATGATTGTATGCTTTTTTGCCTCCTTCCTACTGCCTTGCCTTAAGGAACATCAAGTCGGCACCGAGTGTGAAGGGCAAAGGTGCTGCAGAGAAGACTGAGGGTGGTGGCCCAAAGCGAAAGCCGCGCGCAAACAAATCTGAGAAGGCTAAGGCCTCTAAGACCAAGGAGTCTGGCAAGGCTAAGGCCAAGAAATCCAAGGAATGATTGATGCACTTTTTTGGGGGCATGGTGGTAACAAAATGCCACATGTGTTAACTTAACTTTGACAGGGGATTGCTGGAGTGTTTCTAAACACTCCGCTTCCATCCAAGTTGATGGATGATAGCTGCACCGGATCAAAATTCGATATGTGGGCATGGTGGGCTGTTCCTTCTGGTCAGGTGTGAACGCTCTTCACCCCACCCGACACCCTGATTGATTTGATGAGTATATATATATATATACACGATATATGAATATGTCAGCTAGAATGTTTTCGGTTATCTTTGACCCCCTGGTAGGCCTGGAAGATAAGCTAGAATGTTCTGAATTATCTTGGACCCCCTCGCAGGCCTGGAAGATGAGCAGGGTCACGTTGATTCCGGAGGCCGGCCTGGCTCAGGTGCAACTTTTTTTCCCAGATCGCTGTTAAAACTTTGACAGGGGATGGTGAATCTTCAAGTGATGACCTTGCTGCGGCACTAGTTCAAGATGCAGAGCTAGGGGTTTCTGGGACCAAAGAGTTCAACATATACACAATAATACCAGCTCTTAAATTACACAAGTGGCCCGGCTGAGGCTGCATCATCAACTGGTGTGATACGGATGGCGGCTGTTGCAGCCAAGAGGGACTGGAAACTAGGCGTTTGTCAACATACTTGAAAGTGAATATATATATATAGATAAAGTTTGATCATTATAAACAACAGCAAAGGGGTTAATTTCGCTTTTGACCATGTTGTCCCTGAAGGTGTCATGGACCCGAAGGTCAACAAACTGGCTCGTTTCAGGGGAACAAAGAGTGGAAAAACTGGTAAGAATGCTTCTCGAGATTTCCATCGGTTTTTGCGGAGAGAGGGGAAGATGTTCAATGTCAAGATATCAACACCTGAGATTCCTATCCGGCGGAAAGTTCGTGGGAAGCATGGAAGGCGTTGCAGTCATGAGTTCATGGAGAAGCACCCTTGCCTATACCTGTCTAGTTGGATCGCATCCATCTTTGGAAACTGTCCCAAGTTTCTGTTAGGTGGCCATGATCCCCGGACTGCAAAGGGGCTCTTGCAGGCTGAGAACATGTTGAAGGAGTTCTGGGCTAACTTTGCTTCGGTGCAGCCCTCCCACCCCATTTTCGAAAGGAGCCCTCAAGAGCAAATGCGAACATTGCCAGTGGCTATACATGGAGATGAGGGCCGGGGTTTGGGGAAGGTCCCAGTGTTGGTACTTTCCTACCAGTTGCTGATCCCCTACACTGGGCCCAACCGCCTGAATTCCACAACGTTACTGGGTTGGATTTAGTTTAAGCTTTGATGGGTTCTCCAAAATTTACTTGAGCCTACAAGATTCTATTCCAATGGGCAGGGGATCTCATGTTGAGGCATTCGTTCACCACAAGATTGTTGTTCAGCTTGGTTCCATCAACATGGTATTGCAAAGATGATGCAACCGTCGACAGCTTGCACGAGCACCTTGCGAGTGATTGCGTGGATCTTTTCCATAAGGGTGTATCTGTCAAGGTTCATCACCAGAAATGTTTGGCCACCCTTGAACATGTTTTAAACTTCAGGGATTATGATCTGTTGGAACTATTTCCCCAACAACCATCCTCCCATATAGGTTGGTGATGATGAGACAACTTGGTTCGTGGCGGTGACTGGATGCAAGGGGGAACTGGCCGTGGGTGCGGAAGGCATACCACCTCGCAACTGGCTTTCGATCTCTTCGAATATGTCACTTGTGTCCATCCCAGGTTCCCTGCAGACATAATTCAGTTATGTTTATATGTTCTTTATGTTGTGTGTCCTCTTTTTGCTACATAGGCTGTGCAACCATCATGAATATCTTAAGGAGTGGTGGGATGTAAGTCGAGAAGGGCAACTTCGTACATGGGCAGGAGGAATCCCGACACCTTTCAAACTCAACAAGGTTTCCCCTTTGAGGTCAATCCCTGGATGTGATACACCAGAATGCATACGGCCAGACCTCATGCACAATTTCAACATGGGTGTTGGTGGAGAACTTTCCGCCAGTGGTTTGATGGCAGCATGTCGCATCTCTATTTTTGGGGAAGACCGCCGATTTCAATCCCGTCTTGATCGTGCCCATGATTCTTTTCATGAATGGTGCTCCCAGAATCGCAAAACAGCTTCGATCAAGTCGTTTGAACTGAAGAAGTTCAAAGCCAAGACGACCCTTGCAGATCAATTAACATATGTTTTTGATTGAGCAAGTTAAAAAATCTCAATCCTGTATGGTTCTTTCCATGCCTTTCCCATTCCCAGTGCTGCCTTGTAAGGAGCGCCGACTTCCCGCAAGGAACTGGTCGGGCCCATGACACTGCCTTGCTATGCAAGTGGCTGGCATGGGAGTTGAACAAATGGGGCTCGCATGATGTTGTACTTTGACTATACACTTGTGTTTTGGTAGGCCCTGAAGATTGAACCAGAAAACTTGGGGAATGGATTGATGTTTGATGTTGGGTTGTGGTTTTAATGACCGCTATACGAAAACCAAAGGATGCGGGAGACATTGATCTTCTGGAGCTTCTGAAGTGGACATTGAACAGTGCCAACAGCTTTTTCTCTGGTCTTCACAAAGAAGGCATCTGGTTGAATCAGAATTGTGCCCGCTCAATTTTGGAGCATGCTTTCAATAGCTCGGAGTCTTGATTGCAAAGCTGCATTCATTTGCCCAGTGCTGAAACCATAACCTGGGCCCATACAATAGTGTTTGTCGCACCCTCCATCTAAGGAAGGCTATGCGGGATTGGCATCTCTTTGCGCATCTCGGGGCTGGGCCCTATTTCGGATTCGCCCCAAGCTGCACCTCTACACCCACACCCCGATTCTTAACAATCGTGGTTTTGACTTCCACAATGGGGAAATAGATAACTGTTTGATCCTGGTATTGGTCGACTTGATCCATGTTTGGCTTGTTGCCCAGGAGAGCCATGGAGCTACAACTTCTTGCTACATCCAATCCAAACGAGAAGATCCTCTCCCCACTCTGCTACTCATCATCCCTGTGCATCCTATTTTTTTTAGTGGAAGCCACCCAAAAATGTTTTGGGGGATATGATATTAGCTATGGGGATATGTGTAACACATCACCTGCAGCCCAGGTTGGGCTTGCTGGTCCGATGAGGACTTCGTTGGAAAGACATGCAGAGTGATCAGAAGGTTGAATGCTGGTAACCTCATAGGGTGGCGATGTATCAGCAGGTGCTTGCTGAAATACAAGCGCTATTTTGACAGACGGCTCAAACACTGAGTCTCCGACCTTAAGATGATGTGACCGCAGAAGAGCACAAAGTGTGGGTGGATGTGGAGGGTCAGCTTCTGTGAGGGCAAGTTGGCAGGGATCCCCAACACAGTTCGAGCACTTTTCAATAAAACGAACGTTTTCTGGAAAACGAGCGCAAATCACACATGAGGTGCAGAAAACATGTGATACAGAAATTTGTGTAGCATTGGAGGGCCCTGGGAAGTAATTGTTCGACCTCCGTTGGCAAATTGAAAAATCGCGCAAAATCATTTCGTTTGTGTAGGATGGTCTGGCACCGTAGCATCGACCTTTGCAGGAAGGCAGACTGGACTCTCTGGAAGGCCTTCCATCGTCGCTGAATCGGTGAAGACCGGGCGAGACCTGGAGGGCAAGACCTCACTTGGACCGCCCTTCTTACTTCTCGTGTCGAAAATAGCAGGTCTCTGAGCCGCCAGCTTGGCCCAGCACTGAAGGCCCGCTTTGCAGAAGGCGTAGTAGATCTTGCAGAGACGGCTTCGTCCTTTTTGAAAAGCTCCCATGGAGTGAAAAGCTCCCATGGAGTGGGTAAACGGAAGGCGTGTTTGCCTCCTAAAAAGGCATCGCTGCGCAAACTCGCGACTGGTGCCAGGATCAAAACAACCAAAAGGCTCCGGCCAAGTCAAGCCACTCAGGCCACCATTGCCCCGAACACAGACATGGGCGGAATGACTCTGTCTGCCATACTTGTATAATATGTGGAGTGTCTTGGATTCTTGGATTGGTGAGCTTCTTTGGGAATGTGTTTTCTGCACGTGGGGATGGAGCATCGCTTGCTAAGAAAGGGGTGCAAAACCCATTTCTTCGGCGTGTTTTGACTTCGTTGGTTGACCGGGTTGCATTGTTCGGCAGAGTCGTTGAAACTAAAGGCAGCAAAGCAACGACTGCTGCTGCTCCGTCGTTCACACACAGCAACGCAGCTTGGTCATGGAGGTAGGTGCTGCCATGACCCTAGAACACACTGCGCACTGCGTTTCAAAAAACAACAACATGAGCAACGCAGCAATACATAGTACGCTCAAGATGTTTTCCACACAGCCTTTGCTAAAGTATGCTGAAGTATATCCACCAAAGATGAATGAGTTCCTGGCTGAGGCGATTTGTGCGTATGTCAGCACGCGCAATCTTCCCAATGTCGATCTGGTTTTGTATGGGTTTTGTATAACAGTTGACAGTCGTAAAACCATGGCTCTTCCGTAAAGACTATTACAAAAACACCACCATTTCACCAGCATCGACACCAAGCTTCGGGCGAGGACCCCTCCACGTCCGCGCAGTTTGAGCGCTCGGGCACCGCTCCAGGTGGCTTGGTCTTAGTCCACGGGGGTCCCGGAAGCGGCAAGACGGAGTTGGCCGCGCACGTCCGCGCCTGGGCCAACGAGCATGACCTGACCGTGCTCGCTGGCCGGGAGGCCCAGATGACGGCGGAGACCGTTGGAAGACGAAGATGGATAGAGAGACGCATGAACCTCAGTGGAGGTAGGGAATAAAAGGTGAGACTCTGAAGATCTTCCAAATCACGAACTGATCCTCCTCTCCAAGCCTGCATAAGAGGCTAATTGTAGATTTTTGTGTTGTCAATGGATTGGATTGGTTGCCTATGCTTCCTGTCGTGGTCTTTGCTCCGAACATCACCTCCTCTCGGGTCGCGACCACATCCACCACACGTCAGTCTCCGAGTACGTCCACGAACGACGCGACGCGGACGCGACGCGGACGCACGCACCTCCGGACGCCTCGGCGAGGTCAAAACCAGAGTCCCACCGGGACGATCACGGTGCCGAGGCTTTGTTGGCAGGAGGCTTTCTCCGGTCTGTTTGCCTGGTCTGGTGGTCTGGCGGTGAGGGTTTTGAGGTGGACACCGCACCGTTGATTGGTTGAGATAGGGGGGGGTGGTTGTAGCTGCTCATGACAAATTTGTATGTTTGGGCAAATCATCACTGCGATTCTGAGGGATGACACTCCCTAGAATCCTGAAGTCAGAAGGCTGTTTCCCTCTTCCTGAAGCCCACTTTGACCCAGAAGCCTTCCATGTTCCAGGTCTAAAAGTTAAGTTATGTTTAATGATTGATTGACTATGGTTTTATAGACTACCACTAGAAAATATTTATCCTTTTTGTTTATCTATATGGTTTTCTAATGGTTTCTACAGTTATTTGGATGTTCAGCCAGCAGACATCCGATTCACCCGGGGGCCACCTCTAGCGACGTTTCAGTTCCCGGTCGTTACGACCTACCCTGGCAGTCTGCGGATCACCTGCAGGTCACCTTGGAGCATTCTATACTTGGGGGACACCTCACCGAAAGCATCGAAAAGCATGAACCAACAGAGGTTGAAGAACTGAAGAGCCTTATTATATACAGTATCCCATATAGGTACCCCAGGTGACGGGTCCGAGGTCACTGAACCTCTCTTGGAACAGGACCGAGGGCACACCTTCGATCTCGTTTCGACCAATCCTCTCGGATCGATCGAAGCTCGGGAGCTGTGGAATTGGCCCGATCGGTCCCCCAGATTCTTTGCCACGTCGCATGTCGCTGTGGAATTGGCCCATGGGCCCCCGAATTTGGTCGATCGCTGTAGCTGGCTCGACGCCATTTTTTCGAGTTCCCCTGTTGGTCGGAGCGGCACCGGGGCGCCGACCTGGCCCTACTGGCACCCTGACGCGTCGGGCTCGACGTGTGTGGCTCCGCCAGGTCTTCGGGGCCTTGCTGAAGGAAGCGCGTGCCGATCCGCGACTTGACGTGAGTGCGCAGTCTGGAAACCCCAACCGGAAATGAATGGATGGAACGAAACACAGTCCCAACCACTTGCTATGTAAAGGATCTCAATTGCCCTGTTGGAACAACCATTATTGTTGTTGTTTGAATCTCTAAAAAAAGTTCGATTGGGCAGTTTCTTTCTTTGAGGGAGCGAAGGATCACAAGGATCTGCATGTGGACTCTTGATTATACAGTAAAAACACGTCCATTTGGATTGTAAAACCTTTTCGTAAATATAATATATATGGGGCGTTTTAATACAAGATTCTACATCAAACCGTCGTTTTGCGGACGGTGATGCTTGTGCCTGTGGGAGTGGTCCCCACTTTGTGAGGGGCTTTTGGGCCAAAAGTTCCGCAACGCCACGCCATAAGGATCAAGACCTCCAACTGTTTGCCCCTTGAAAGCTGGCCGATGCTCATGGATTTTCGGTTCGTGGACATAGAATTTAGGGTCGTGAAGACAAAGTGTGCATCTTGCTATGCAGGCTGTGGGTGAGGAAAAGGTACTGATTTGGGGAAGCATCAAAACCTGAAGCCCAGCCAGTCCACCATTTGCCGCGAGTCACACCTTCCACCAGAACCGCTCGTGCCCGGTCGGTCTCCGACTAGTGCCATGGCCCACAGCCACTCCCTCTTCATTGGCTTTTCCTGGTTTCTTCTCGAAACCAAGCAGAGCAGCCTGAAAACGAAAGAATGCGCGAACCGACCAGCGAATGTGCTTTCGGACAATCACTTGGGTGTGAGACCACTGGAGTTTCGTCTATTTGGGATTCTTCCAGTCTTTTGGTGTTCAACCTGTGTATGTTTGACACCAAAATTGAGTTTTGTTGTGCGCTTTAGCAGGTGTTTCCAACCAGGGTCTCACCATCTCCACGCCGCCTCTTCCAGCACTGTGCTTCTCCTGCCGGTGCACAACGCCCGCCGTGGTTGGAACACCGAGCGCCGTCGGTCGCATCGAGGTTTTGGAATCCGAAGAATGAGTCGGTGCTTTGGGCAGCAGTGCTGGGACAGAGCCTGGATGGTGTCCTGGATGGGTGTCCCAGACCAGACCTGTTTGCCCATAGACTCCATTGGGGGTCAATGTATATATGTATGACATACATGGAGTGTTTGGGACTGGAAGAATTATAACTTACTATTGACCGCGGAAACCACCACGCCAGGCCTGCTCTCACTGGTGTCACCAGCGAACCGACAGGGCTCGGACCACACGGACTCCGTGTGGACCTTGACTTCAGCGGTGTGAGAGGGGGCACCAAACGGATCCAGAGAGGTTTTTCACAGTCCTTTTCACCTTTCCCTGAACCTCTCTGGCATGGTCTTCATTTTCATGCTGGTCGAAGTCCCCAATGTTTCTCGCGCGTGGTGGATTGCCTTTTGATGCGCCTTTCAATGGAAGAACCCCCGGCAAAGCATTTGCCAAGAGGATTAATACCAGGCCCCCCTAATAATAGCCCCTTAATTAAGAGGTTAAGGAGTGTCCATTCAGCTGCATTGCCGCTGTGTTTTTTCTCCTTCAGACATAGACATCCCGACTCAATGCACTACTTCCGTGGCCAGTTCTGCTTCTGTTTTGCCCAGATGCTCCTGGACCCTCATATGCAGGGGTCGGATCCGAACCTATGGAGGGGTCTGGACCCGAACCAAACCCTATGGGTTTTGAGGGACCCAAGGGCTGTTTGGAGCATCTGGGCACATGACGTTTCAGAGTTCTCTGAAGAGTGAGTGGCTGGGTGAATGGCTCAGATATGTCTATGTTCAACCTTTACTTGGGATAATTGAACCCACTGACTGATGAGGTTTGCTTCTGTGGGCTTGGCTGAAGTCTTGGTTAGAGATCTTCAGGAAATCATACTCGTGGCTGCTTCGTTAGCCATTCCCGGATCCAGATGTCCTCTTGGCTCCGCTGATTCGTGCTGCCTTTCACACCCATCCCCTGCTCCGGTCCAACCGGCGTCTGACCGTGACACCGTGGGCCCCCCGTGCCACGCGAGGCCAACGATCGGGAGATCTTGCGACGGCTCCTAGACGTGGCCGGCGCCACGAAGGAACTGCTGGCCGCTTCGCAAGCGAAGACGACCTGCCGAGGGGGGGGGGTTGTGGCGATGGTCGGGTGAGGTGTCATTGGTTCTTCGGTTCTTGGGTTTCCCTGGCATGGGGAAGATGTATGTTTTTTCTCCAAACGGTGTGGCTACTAGGGGTTCTTATGGTAATTAAGAGTTAAGGCCGGGTTCTGATCGGAAGTTCTCGCATTTGTCAGCGTCTAATTCGCTGCTACTTACAGCCCATTCATTCACCTCGAGATTTTCGAAGTGCATTTGGACTGCGCAGGCTCGCAGCATCTGCTGGGCCCGAGTGTGTGCTCTTGTCGACTGCGCTCTCGGACTTGGTGGTCACGTTTCGTGGCAGGCGCACGGGAAACCTCCTGCAAAGTCCACTTCATGGCAGGCGCAGCACGTTGGACCTGGTGGTGGTCTTCGGTGCGCTCTGTATTTTTTTTGGCAGGTGCATGGAACCGTGACCTTTGGACATGTAGCTCGTTTTCATAAATCGGCGGATATTTTTGGATACGTGCTCGTGCTGCGAAACGCCTTGGCTGCGCAATGTGAATCTTGATGTGCAGATCTCGTGGCAGGCGAGAGGCGCGTGAAAGCTTTTTTGATGGTGTGTTCTACAGCCTGGTCAAGACAGGCGGCTTTGACAAGGACTATGGGGAACGCATGCTCCATCTGGTGGATTCTCGCTCTTGTGTTCAACAGATGTTTCGTTGGTAGGGTGTTGGAAAACCTTGGGCTTTCTTGGCGGGAAATTGGGAGAGACTTACAAGTATAAGGACTCGCTTCCTCCGCAGCAGAAAGCATGAGCTCTATCATCCTTTCGACTTTGTATACCACCATGTCCCGCCATATCCGGACGCGGTCACGCTCACTGAGCGGAAGGTGAAGCACATCCAGTCCTCCGAGCATGAGACAAGTTCCAATCCCAGCGCCTTGGCTCTCAGTCTCATTGAGTGCAAAGTCTTTGATGTCTCCCTTCTGTCTCTTGGAGTTTGAAACCAAATATCTAAGGTGAGGCCTTGATGGATGAAGTCCTTTTGGATGATGGTCCCGAGCGGCTGTCGGAGGTGGCGTCGCGCCTTCGGTCTGGACAGGTGGAACGCGCAAAAGTAACTTGGCTTTTTCAATGACTTCATTTGATTTGAGCAGCTTTGGAAGGGCTTCACCCCATCAGTCTTATGTAGTCATTGGAATGTCATTGCCATGATCATTGCAATTGATGTCAGGCACATGTGGAATGGGAGATCGATCCCCACAATGCCAAGCAGTTGGCGCAGCTGGCTATTGGTGAAGTGGAGCGGATCGGATCAAGAGGACGCACGTTCACTGTCTGCTGAGTCTGCGCCCTTGGACCCATCGGTGCATCATCCTGCTGGTGGCACAAGCACCCAAGCGGGAGCCCATCCGACAGGAAAGGTGCCTCTTTTGCCTCCTCCTTTCACATAGATCCAGCCACCTGAGCCTGGTTCGCCGGGTTCGCGGTGGTGTTGCCGCATACTCAATCAATTTCTGAAGGCGCTCTTCAAGGGTCAAGTTCGCAGTGGATTCAGGCATCTTGGCAAAAACTGATATTAATATATTATAAAATATTATACGGATACAGATTGTTACAGTATGTCCTTTAAACTAGGGATTGGGTGTGGACGCTTGAACAGCGCCACGCTAAATCTGGTGTATGGGCTAGGGTATCCCAGCGAAGCTTTTCAGATGTGGCTTCATTTTCATCCCAGCCAGCACCTTCAGCTGGCCCAATGCAGGATGTGGCTTTAACTCTGCCTATGTTGGACCGCCAGGCCGCTTCACATGCATATTACCTGTGGTGGTACCAGCGTGCGAACAATTAAATTTAAGCTACTCAGAGGTTGCTCAATTTGAGCTGCTAAGTACGTCAGTGATTCTAATTGACGAGCCTTACCTCGTGCATGTCTGGGAGAGAACCACGAAGTTGTCAGACATACTCGGTGTGCAAGTAGTCTTCTAGCCGAGGAACAGGACGTTTGTCAACACACCTCAATGCCGGATTGATGGCCGGCATGGCGTCCACCACGTGCTCATGTGCCCGCTGGCAAACCCACAGTGCTTGGTTCCATCCCATCAGAACGGCTCTCAGGCAGGGGCATACTTTGTCCCGGGCTCCACTCTTCTTGCACACAGCCTGAGCAACCGCAGCTCATCCAACAAAGCAACAAACATTCCAGTGACAAAAAGAACCCACAAGGGCATATCACCCACCATTGCTGGGTGTGAGCTTGAATCAACATGGCCTTCCAACTCACGAGGTTGCAGCGGGCTATGGAAACACAATCACAGGGAAAAGGTTGTGGAAGCTGCGATTGGCAACCCTCCAACTTGTTTGTCAGGGTCGAGCCAATGGGAAACTTATTGAGAAGTTGGTTGGACACTTCACCTTTGCTGGGCTGTTGCAGATGGGGTTCCTGAGCATCTGCCAGGCCACCGTCTTCATCCGGAGACGATCGATATTTGGCCTCAGGTGCATCGGGAGCTTCTGTGGGCCGCATCTCCGATTTGTTTGGTTAGGCGGGATTTGGCTGCACAACGGAGCCCCAGAGTGCATACAACTGACGCCTCGCTTTGCGGGAGAGGTGTAGTCGCTGGCGACACGGACATCGAAGAGGTGAAGGCTCTCGGCTGTGATCGCTGGCGCTTCGAGCCTTCATTATTAGGAGGAGGAGCGTGTGAATGACATCGAACTGAGACTCCAAGCTGGCCATTTTGACCTTGAGAGTGGATCACATGTACCTTGGCTTTATCGGGGATAGGTTGGTGGGCAAGGTTGCGTTGGACTTCATTGATGGGGAGTGCATGGTTGCATGTCGACGGTTTGAGATGGAATCAGAGTGAGTCGATCTGGAAGTGGCTTGCTCAGCCTCTCGCTCGACCTGGGGCGGAACACCTCATCCTCTCGGACTCCATGTCTGTCACTCTTGCGTTAACGAAGGGTCACTCTAGCAGTGGTCCCATGAATCGAGTGTGTATGCAGGTTGCGGCTTTGACTTTACGTTCAGGGAGTTCAGGGGTGCATCTCCAGCTTCGTTGACTACCCTTCTATAGGGCTCGAGATGTCAGAGACTTCAGAGTCTCTGCAGGGGCTAGAGAAGCTCTGCGAATCAGATCTTGAGCCGCAATGGAGGAGATCCGGAAGGCCAACTGTCCTTCGGCCAGTACCCGGGGCTTCAACCAGGAGGAGTCAAGACATTCCTGGAGAAGACAGCGGTGACCATGGCAAAGGAGAGATCCTATTGCCGGGCCATGGACGACTTCGTGGGCTGGCGCAAGATGTTCAATCTCAAGACCCGAACCGTGGTGGAATTGGATCACTCAGTGACACAGAAGCTAACCACATGTTTTTCGAGGGACACGACTTGGCCGACGGATTGACGCTGGTGGCGGCCGGTGAAGTACCTCAGAGACGACCTGGGCAAGACAACGACGCTCAAGCGAGCAGCAGAAGCCTTGAAGGGCTTTCACAAGTTGGTGCGTGCCATCGTCAAGGAGCTCTGGCACAGCTTCCGCGTGGGTGACTTGCAGTCGACCAGCAAAAGGTCTGAAGAGACCTAGCCTAATCGCCTGTGCAAGCACTGGGTGATGATTCCGAACACGCACCTATCAGATTCGTCACGGCAGTGCTTAAGATGTGTTCTAAGCGGTCATCGAACGCTGGGAGAAATCCAGAAGAGGCGACGGTGGGAGACCGCAAAAGTGTGAAGCGATATTCTAATGGTGGCAGGGTCACCCTTAACATTCGAGGTGTCTTTGCTGGTCTTGACAAGACTTGATCTCAACAATGCAAGTGTTGCCATGCGGCCCTGTCAGAGTTCTATCTTCATCCGACCCTCCAAAGTGTGTTTGGAATGGGCCCGCGTCTGTCTTCCAGATCCATTGTTGCAGGCCTACGTAGGTGTCTATCACCGAATTGGTGACATTAACTTTGGTTCTGATTGGAAATCACAGGAAGGTGGGCAGCGGATCCACAGTCCAAATGGCACAGCATTGGTTCAGTAGCCAGTATCAGGCCTCCCACCCAATGCTTTTGCAAGGCAAGCCTAGTTCTACTTCTACACCTCTAGGCCTTAGACCTTTAGACACACTGCTTGGTTGGGGTCTCTTGCAGGGATAATTTGTGTTTCCTCGGTTTCTGAGTCGGCCGCTTTTGACCAAAGTTGGGACCACCACACTCGCGCGTTTTTGGGGGCAGTGTGTGTCGGATTGTTTCGGAACATGCGCGAAGTGGATGGGGTGGGTGGGTGGATGTTGTGACAGGGACAGTTCACAAGGAGTGGTCGAAGATTGTCCAAACGGTGGAAAAAACACGAACGTCGTACACTTAACTACCGAGCAGAAAACATGCCATCGACAAGTCCATGTATAGTCCAACTCTACTATGGAAGGGTCGATGGGTTTTTGGGGGGTCAAGGATCCGAGACCCTCCAATACGGTGCTCCAAGGCGTGGTTGCCCGTGCTGCGGCTATTCTTTCCCGGGCTTTACTTTGGGCCCAACGTGCCTTTGGCACCGAACAAGACGCCGGACGCGGTCCGACGGTCCGACGCACACTACGGAGGCGGCTTGAGGTTCAACATGGGTTCGGCTGCAAAGACCACAAATGCTAACCCTTTTTTTACCTCCAATCGTGCAGCACGTGGTTGCCCAAGCTCGGTGGCGGATGTTGTGTTGCCCAAATGTTGACATTATCAAAAAACTTAGTTGAGTTGTAAGGCACGTTGACACATGAATCTTCGGGGCGGGTGGAATACATAGGTGGGCATGATTTGTTTTTTCGCCACATGTTTAAGTTGTGACAAAGCTGATGTCTTGTCATTCCTTTTAGGGTTTGTAGTTGTCACATTGAACGTTTGATTTTGGTAGTTTGCATTCCACAGATGTCATAATAAGGCGAACTATAGTGACTGATGAGTGTTTCACCAGGATTTAAACCACATGGAACGAACGAATCCCTACAATAGAGTGCAGTTTACCATGGTTGCCCAGCTCGAATTCCTGGATTCTAACGTTCCCAAACAGGTTTGTCGCTGTTTTCTCAAGAGCCAAGAAGTCACGCCAGGAATCCTACCAATCCACAGCGAAGCCTTGCCATCTTGCCATACTACTTATCTCGTGTCTACCAGGTAGATGGCCAAAAGAAAATCCACCAAGTTTCACTGGACCATTCATGAAAACCATCCCGTTTAAAAACGAATCTGTCGTGGTTCTTTGTCATTTCTACTCTTTGGTCGTTTCCAAACTGAACATGACCCACCCCCTAAAGAAGTAAAAACTTCTCCCGCCAAAAAGTCGCCCAACCCCCCGCCAAAAAAAGAACCCTCGCGCCCCATCCTCAGTCCCCCCCCCCCCAAAAAAAAGAGGTCCACAATGACAAGGTCCGACGTGTTTTTTCACGTCGAGGTGGTGAACGCCATGGTCGAACGGGACGACCTGCATGCGACGCGGCCTTCGCGGGTGCGGTGTCGGTGTGGTGTGTCGGTGGGGGTCGAGGGGAGGGGGGCGCTGAAGCAGGGTGGTTCTATGGAAGAAAAACACCAAGCAGGCAGGATGGGGCCGATGAGCAGCACATGAATGAAAACTGCAGGTGGAAGAGATGTGGAAATGTGGAAATTGGACCGTTCAGGGATTGCTGTGATACCAGTTAGTGTGACAGGTGCCTACCCAGTCCCATCCACCCCAGTGTTTGCTTCCACAATCTTGTTGAAGCCAAATTTGTTTCCTTCACAGCAGACTCGTGTGGCTCTGTGGCCATTGATGGGATTATAGCACCATGCTCTTTTTGCTCGGGGTGAGTCTATTTTCCCTATTCCCTTCTGGTAGAATATTACTTATGGTCTTCCCGATTCCACAGCAAATTCAACACGAAATGGAACAGACCTGTGAAAGATCTTGGCCCCATCAGACACATCCAGGCGATAGATGTGGTGGTTGTCTGCGGAATCATCAGGGTGACGTGGATGCCGGCCCAGTTCGCCCCGACGTTCGGATGAACCATGTTCCGTTAAAAAATAAGTGTTTTTCTCCACATCCATTAGCATCCATTAGCCTACTAGCGATGGCCTTCAACCCAATAGCGATGGCCCTATTCTGGGAGCGTCATGACCCCTATTCTCTCCCCCTCCAACGGTCAATGTTCGCCTGCAGGTGGTCACGCTCTGCAAGATGTTGATCAGTGCCTTTGCGAGGCACTCGACCACCAGCAACGGCACCGTGGTTCTGTCATTTGGCGCAGTTGCAGAAAGGGTCTGTGGAGAAACAGTCAAAAAATGGTGTTTCCGACGGGTGGTGGGTTTGTTTTCCAGGATCTGACAGATTGAACAGCTCTGAGATTGTATAATTGAAATGCTTCATGTAGCGTCAAGTTCCGCATGCTGCTGCCTGCGTGGTTTTCACCCCAACATTTGCACAACTGTTGATCGCTGACCAATCAGATGCTTCTGACCCTCACGGCATCGCAGTGAGGAAAGGCCACCATTTGCACAACTGAAATTGTCCCTAGGATTCCTAGCTCACCAGCCATTCAACGTCTGAATCCCGAACAACCATTGTTTTACTGAGGATCCTACACTTCAACACCGGGTCCTTCCCATTTGAAGCAACGTCGAACGGAAGGCGAACGGGTGAAGAGAAAACCGTCCGTTGACGGTGCAGCAGCGCTGAGGCTTCACTTGCGTCGTTCCACCTCCTTCTTTGGCCAATCAGATGTCGCTTGGAGAAGTCCTTGCGGCGCCGGCCGGGCGCGCCGTGAGAAGATGCGTAAGTCGTTGGACACGGTGCCGGTTGGACACGGTCGCCAGTCGAAGGGAGGGCACCGAGGTCCGGTCGCCAGGACCGGACGGATTCCGAGCTTCTCATTGGACGACGCGGTGGTCGCATGGAAAGAATCCCAACAGCCTGATGGATACCGAAGAAAAGCAGTTGTCCGGGAGGGGAAAAGTGTTCTTCACCCACTTCCAAAACCCCCGTCGATCACTGCGGACAGAGAACGAACGAGAAACATCGTTCGAAACCCTCCTTGAAACATGAACAGATAGAGCTCTTTGCTGGCAACACCGGAGGAGATGATCCTTGCAGACAAAGGATCTAATCCTTAGGTTCTGCATGGCAGAACCTACAGTTTGGTAGATCATGTTGCACCATGACACCGGCGCACGGATCTTGAACATGAACTTTACTCCACCAATGGGTTGAATGTTTTCGCTCCAACTGAAGCCGATCTTGGCCAGAATGTTTGGGGCGGTGCAGTGTGGCACCCATGTGCGGTCGGTTACACCACAGCCCATGTCGTCAGCAACAAGTGCTCCACCTGTAGTCTTTGAGATAGCAAATGGCGAGAGCAAACAGTGAATCCCAGTGACCACAGGTTTCTAGGCCTATGGTTTTTGGTCTTCGGAACCACTGGAAACACCAGCGACATTGTGGAGCCACTGGAGCCACTGGGAAACACTGTTAGTGAAAGATTGACTCCTTCTCCATGGTGAGCCACGTCCTCTGGCACACGTGGCTTGTCATGCTGCTCTTTCTCGTCCAACACGTCAGGACTACGATGAGAGAATCGATGCTCGGCTGTTTTGAGGATGTTCGATGCCTTGCACTCCGCTGAGAATTCAATATACCAGGACCTGCCAAGGGGTGCCCAATGGAAGCCCCAGCCCACCACTAAGGGACCTCCATTGGACACCCCTTGGAAGGTCCAGGTATATATATATATACATTTGTTCATCGTTTTTTTCCCAGAGCAACCTGAAACACGGGTCCTGGGCTTCGCCTGGTCCTGGTCCTTGATATTCACAAGAAGCATGTGGTGCCGTGGCCCAAGGTCTCCGAGAGACGGTCTGAGATCAGACTCGACTCCTCTGACCGTCTCTGTTTCTGACGGTGTTTCTGGGGCCCATGAACAAACCATTCAGATATCTCTTCTAAGAGAATACATGAGGGGCTTCCTCCATTTGGGCCAAAGACCAGATGTCCTCTCAATATATGGGGCAGGTTTGACCTGGACCGCGGAGATGATGGACATCGAAGACTTTGCTGTGTTTGCACTGCGTTTGTGGTGCAGGAAACTTGAATCTTAGAGGTCTATCAATGTTGTTTTGGGTCATGGGAAGAAGACTGACCTGCTTGGTGTGGAAAGAGTTGTTACCGTTTTACCATGTAGAAGAATTCGAGCATTTCTACAAGCAACCAAAAGCGAAGGGACAAAAACCTCCCCAAACCTCTGGTGTGTGCGGCCAGGTACCACATGAGTATATTATGAATTCTATCCCTGAGAGTCCAGTCATGGGTCATGACTCATTTTAACCCTATGCTAGTCGGGGATGATGACTTTTAGGTAGTAGAATGACTCCTTATGGAAGCTCTGTGATTCTTTCTTTTCTTCCACTTCAGAGTTGACACCACTTTCACCAGGGCGTGCATGACCCTGTGATGCGCCACAGCTCCCGTAGAGCTCCCGCAATCCAGCGCCCCTTCGTTGCGCCGAGCTCGCCGACGCTCGCCTCACTGTTTCGACGCGGTCGTGGACGCGGCTGGCAGTGAGGTGGATGGGATCATGGAGCTCACGGAGCTTCGAGGCGCCAAGCCGTTGATCTTTTGCCTGGTCGCCCGGGAGGCGGGACTGCCCTCCAAGGCGCGGGTCATGGCTTCGCGCACGTTGCACACGTTGCATGCGGGCTGGGAGGAGAGAGGAGAGAGAGGATAGATAGGAGAATGGGATGGAGGGGCAGAATGGATCCATCTTGGAGACTGAGAACGTGTCTATCTTGCCCAACCCTCCCTCCAACAATCATGGAAGCGGAAAAAAAAAAACACCTTTTGATTCAGGAACATAGTCTTCCACTGGGGCTATTGTCCACTTCTATAGATTGTTGGAGGGACGGGAAGCAGTACAACCCCACGGGCTTCAATCACACTCTTTATCCCATTGATCATTGATCCCCTCTCCACCGAATCCTCCGCTGCGCACCAACCCCGCCTAGTACCGGTCGAAAAACAAAGTCAACATGCTTGACGACCTATGTGTGACTAGACCTAGAAGTCAACAAGTTGTTCAAGACTTGTAACTCTAAATCGCAGTATTTCGTGTCAACCACTACCAAGCCTTAACTAGAATTCACGCTGTTTGCACGGGTCACTCTTCATGGCGTTCCTTCCCTTCTCCAGAGCCACCCGTTGCTCCTACGTTGCTCCACGTCCTCCCGGCCGACCCGGTTCATCCCCGGCGCCGAAGCGTCTCACGACGACGTCTCCAGGCGGTTCAGCCACGTGCGAGGCAAGTCAGCGGCGAAGTGCGAGTCAACAACCTCTCGCTGGAGCTTCGGTCGAAGAACGACGAACCGTGGTGCAGCATGGTCGAATCATGTCGTAGACTCGAAGAAGATGTTTTCATCCCCCCAGAGATGGATTGTAAAAACCTTTTCGTATGGAGGTTATATGAAATCAAAGTCATTAAGAACCCTGGGAAACTCCACTGGGACCATTCTGAAATGCCAACCCAAGATCTAAGATGAGTCTGAACAGGAGCGCAGAGCTGCAGCTGTGCAAACGTTCACGAAGAGTTGAACGTGGATCAGGCGATCTGTATTCTTCTTCCCGGTTCTGGGGTGAATCCTCCATGGGGAACAGGTGCTTCTCCGGGTTCAACATCCGCATGAGGAACAAGAAAGAGCTTGGACCGTGCACGAAAGTAGCGTGCGGTTGACGGATGACCAGGTAAACAGCCGATGCACTGGACAACTGTAGATCCTCATGCTATGCAGGCTTCAGCTTTGAGATACTTTGGGGGATACCTCTAGCACGAGTGGAGGCCTGTAGTGAAGGCCTTGGTATCAGAGGTTTATGGACGCATGGAAATGCATCCCATAATTGGTCCTGCCGTGGACACATGGGCGTTGAGCGGTCAAAACCTTCAAGAGTCTTCAAGGCAGGGGTCAAATTCTTGAGGATCCTTTGCGAATCTAGGTGGATTAGAGATCTTCACACATGCCCTGCCGAAACGACCAAAGCATTGTTTAATTAGGGAGATGCCTTATCATGCGTTGCTTTCTTTGCAGCATTGCATCTGTCTTCGGACCAGTGACTGACTGCAGTGGAATTGGGGAAGACAAAAAGTGTGGGGGAAGGACTATGAAAAAAAAATAAACAACTGTGCACCAAGGGCTCTGGCTTTTGACTCACAGCCAATACTCTGGCTTCGAGCTCCGAGAAAAGAACTGCCCGACTTCGTTCAGCGCCGCCCTCAGGACCTCACTGAGATGTATGTCCAGCACATGGTCCAAGCGACCGAGGGCGTCCACCCAGACCTCCTTCAGTACATCTTCGCTTCTTGGACAGCGATGAAAACCCTGAAGCTAGTAGTAACAGGTGCCTTACTAGTAGTAACAGGTGCCTTACTAGTAGTAACAGGTGCCTTACTAGTAGCAACAAGAAGCTAGTAGTAACAAGTGCCTCACTATAGTGTATAGGGCTCCCCTTGGCCAGGGCCCAGTCGACCAAAACCCACGGGATCAGCGGGTGATTGTTGGTGGGTTTGACGGGTTGGGTGTGATGTTGCGGTTCCGCACGGGGGAAGATGATCTTGGACCTTTCTCCCCGACTTCCTGAATACAGCCAAATCATGCCAAATCCAAGATCGGGCTGAGTGTAGACCTACGGCCAAGATCAGCCTTTAATGGGCACCGCAAAGGCGCCGCGGGCGGCACGCCGCCTGGCGTCGGTCGACCGTATTCCTGGTGACTTCGTGATACCATAGAGTCGGTCGTGTCGCCCAGTCGACGTTTAAAACATGACTCGATGACACGACGTCGGCGTTCGATTTTCCTGAACACTTCGGTGCACGACGTGCGGGTTAGTCGAACTGGACTTCGACTTTTGGGCTGCCTACATTCCTCCTTCTCCAGGTACTTCAGTCTTCTTATTATGCTTCTTTGTTTGCTTTCAAGAGCGGCTGTTTGTTGACCCTTGGTGGTGGCCCGAAGTTTTGGAGCTTGTGCTCCGGGAGTAGGACCGCAGGATGGTAGATCTGTGGAACTGCCCTTTGCAGGCCGTGGAACAAAAACACACAGACCAGCATTTGCGTTCCAACTGCAACGCCAGCAGAAGTCAATAAGAACATGTAAAAGAACATAATGTAAGAACTCAAAGTCGCCAAGAGAAGCCACATCAACAGACACTCACATGATGCGATGCACATCCCTGCCCTGCTGGGACTCCTCTCTTCACTCTTCAGTTCCATTCCGCTCGCCGAAGAACCCAGCTCCGCTGGAAAGTCGCCGCGACGCTGGTGTCACCGCGCATGCACTCCGCCCACTCGAATCACACGCTGAAACCACCTGCTCTCAACATTCTAAACCTGCTCTAAACTCTCCAAACTCTCTGGAACCATCCTCAAAACTCCTATAAAAAGCCATTCCACCATCGCTCCTCTTCGGGCGCCTTCGGCCCCCCGGCCAACGCCGCGAAACGCCGCGTGCCAAGGAGAGCAGCGGCGGGAACCCCTACGGCACCCAGCTGGTGCTCTCGGAGCTCCAGCAGCGAGGCACCGTGCAGGTCCTCGAGGCCCCCGGGGTGGAGAAACCGCGGGGTTTCCCCCCGGTGTCCCAAGCGGAAAGAAATGAGAACGAAAACCCAGTCGTTTGGTCGTTTCCGTTAGAAATCTCAAGCTGACGCCAGAGCTCGCAAAAACCAGAACTGTTTCTGGTCGTTACTGCTTCCAGGAATGGTGTCAGGGCGTGACCGGGCGACAAAATTTCTGCGCACAAACCGAGCGTGTGGATCTTGGAACCGTGTCCAAAAATAGGCTCTCCCAGTTGGGTACCCCAGGTGTTCCGGGTCTAGAGTCTAGCCGCCTAGCCTCTCTCCATCTCATTACCTCGCACCACTTCGTTCTTCCAACAGCCTGAAACGCTTCCCGCTTCCCGCTGGGATCCGGTCGTACATTCTCAGAAGGCACTTGGACCCCTCTACAGCCACCCCAGTCCCACCGTACCTGAGAAGGTACGACTGGATCCCTAGGGCTTCCAATGGGCTCCTCCTATTTGACGGTCACCTGAATTCAGGTCACCTCTCTTGGAACCGACCACGGTCCCGACCGCGCTCGTGTTCACCCTCTTCGGTCGCGGCACCTGCACGCGAAGGGCCGCCTGGAGATCGATGGCACGGGCCGCCTGCGTCAGGACGGGCGCAGCGCAAGCGCCGGAGGTTCGGCCGAGCAGCGCCGGAGTTCGAAGAGTGAAGGGAACGCCTTAGGTGGCTGAGCCCTGGATGGATCAGAGAAATGACCAACCTCTTCCAAACGGTTCGTACAACATGCAGTCATGGCACCACACGCCTTCAGGCGGGCTCAGGACATCCGGCTCTGGAGTCATGAAGACCCAGGGTTCGAGTGTTCTGGTCAAATCATCCCAAAGGATTCGATGTCTGGAGGCTCCTCAGGTTTCATCAAAGCACATTCAATGATCATGAGCGGATGAAGGTTTAGCTGTTCACAACTGTTGAAGGTTTCGGGGACTGAGCCGCCCAGTTCAACCAGCCTCTTCTTCGCGCGCGCAACACCGCGGACATTCTCTGGGTGTCTTTTGCACAGAAGGGTTTTCTTGACGGGAAGATTGAGTGCGAGAATCCATTCAACTTAGTGTCTTGTTTCGGTCACTATCACAGTGTACAGATTTGGACGTGTGTTTGCTCTGCAAACCTGGCTCCTCATTTTGTTAACGAAGTAAGACAAGAAACGTGCATGCGTATTCACGGGTCAGTCCAGCAAAAAGTTGTTGACAACCAATGCAGGTACTTGCTTTGCTAAAAAGGGATTGGCATCATTGGTGATCTATGATCCTATGCAGACAAAGTGAGGGTTCATTGCAATCTTTTGGTGGAAAACAATTAACGTCCTCATGTCATGAGGGTCTCATGTCTTGAGGGTCTCATGTCTTGAGGGTCTCATGTCAGGATTCACAAGTGATTCAATCTAATGAATCACAATTCAGCACTTTTGGAGGTACCGCACAACCCCCAGTTGTGGATTCAGTGTAGGGGATGCGCAGGAACCCACACAATACCACTGACTCCGACCTCGCCCTTCTTGCCAGGAGTACCCACAGGTACCTTGGATGAAGATCAGTTCCTTACTGCAGAAAGTTTGTAAGACAGCCGCGTTGCGACAGCAGTTCTAATGAAGAGCGTTTCCCTTCAGGGGTGACCCAACTGGCTACGGGATGTTACGCAGTTCTTCAGGTGGATGTGTCATGTGTCCCGGTTCCTGGGTGATCGGCGGCGTGCCAGGGAAGATGTTCTCCGAAACGTGGGGTCCGAAACCCGCCAATCCAAGGTTCTCTTCATCCAAATGTGGATGAAGGGTACCAGGACCATCCGACCATCGGGGTGCCCTGTCAGTGTCAGCCGATAGGTACTGTGGGGTAGTCCAGGGACACCCCGATGGTCGGATGGTCCGTTCGACCACCCTCTGGGCGGTGCTGGTATTCGTTCGGACCACCGAGAGTCCGCACCGGTTCGGACCCTCTTTGACGGCAGGGGTCCAGAAGCGAAGCAAGCTCTTGAGAGTTTGGGGGGGGGGGGGGGATTCTTATGGTACTCAGAGTTGTTCTAATAAGTAACTTTGGATCCTTGTTTTTCTCCTTCAGAATTACTAACCGCCAAGATCCGTAAGAAATTTGTAGATCTGGTCTGAGCATCGAACAGCTGTTCGGAACAATTGGGCAAGCTTTTTGCTATTCATTGGTTGATTTATGGAGGGGACACTCCCAGGTGCACAATCAATTGGGACATGGTACCAAACTGACCCCTCTATTCTTCCCAAAAGGACATCACTGATTGGCTACCCAAAACAATCCCTCAGAAACCGGATGCCCAAAATTGCAGCCACAAAAGTCCAGAATTGAAACAAAACAAGTCAATCGAAAAATAAAACTAACAATCTTAAATGAGCTGCCAGGTGTTGTTCTGTTATATAAACTTGTCCTAGCTTCTCCAGAGCCTGAAAGGCTCAAAACAGCGCGGCAGCCGCACTACCCAGGTGCTCATTGGCATGGCCTTGGCCACCTTTGAGAAGTTGCCTCATCGACAGCAGGACTTGGCTTCTCGACAATCAATCGTCGACGGAAGCGCACCGGTTCCTCAAAACCTAGGGATTGGTGAGAACCAGACCTCTCTATATAAGGATCTGGCCTCGCTTTGGAGGGCCCATGCGCGTTTGCGCACCTGCAAAAGCTTTTTGGGGAAAGACCGCTCAAGATGGTGGGAAAGTCTAACCAGAGTGTCCTGGCTACAGTCAGTTTCACTGGCTTGATTGATAGAACACGTGGACACTTTGGTTCACATTTCTTTTCCAGAAATCGATCTTTGGCATCAGGAGTCCGTCAATCAACGGGAGGGGCGAGTTTTCCGGCGGCAGCGCTGGAGCCGTACGTACTTCGGAGTGGCTGGGTCTTCTGGTATCGCTGTGTTC